ATTTTTTTCACAAGACACTTACGTTTTAGAGCAGTCAGTTATTATCTGTTATCTTAGTACATACCATAGCAATAAAAAGTCGCTGTTGTTGTTGATAATTGTTGTTGAGTAGTCATATAATCTTTCCTAGCATATTATGAAAAATCAGAATTTGTAGTATTATTGGTTAATGTTGCGAAGTCGATGAAAAAGTATTTCTTCTTTCACCAATCATTTTTTAAATGATGAGTAATTATTGATATTTTTATTGTCCTCTTCACATGAGCATTGTTTGTTGTATTTATGCAATGCTGATGTTTACAGCTTGAGATCTTCACTTCTGTTCTGACGAAAAAGCTTTAATAACTTTAACTCTTTTATGTTTCATGCACTGCCATAACGAACACAGTCACTAGCAGTCCTTTACAATGTTACAATCATTAATAAAGAAAAATAAATGCGGAAACTTCGGATTTAAATCCGAGAGTTATGTGTACTTCAAAAAGTGAATCATACAAATCAATCATCCTAGACTGTCTGAATATCAAAATTATACTGTGAAATCTACCATTTAAAATGTTGATTTCTATTGCGCGTTGCCAAACCAATAGGACATGGGACCGAATACAGCTCAAGTTTGAACTCTTTCCCTTGATTTACCCTAAGAAAGTCGTTTTTCCTATAACTTCATTTCTATTGGTCACTGCACAACTAATAGTATTTCGATGGAAGTGCAGTACACATTCGAGTTCTCCATATCTGAAAACCTCGAAGTATCATCAGTGTGACCGGAAGATAAAGCTCTATTTGTGGATCAATTAGATCGTGGACCAAAATATCACCTAGTTCTCTTTAATTATCCTTGTCATTGGTATGTCAACCTTCTTGTTTCTTTATGTTTTATATATCCTTTTGTAGTTCTTTAAATTCTCTATCGAATGGTATATAATAGTTGGGGTTTTATTTGACTATGATAGGAAAAGTTTTTTACGAAAGCGGGGATGGGTCGATTTTCGCATAGGAAGCCATAGGAAAAAATGAGTATTTTTGCAATAACTCAAGAATGGTTCAGCCAATTCTTCCTATCTGCGAACTCGACCGAGACATTGTTAAGACTGAACTGTGTAGAAAATTTTATCGCGATTGGACTCTCCTTTCAAAAGTTATCGTGTTAACGGCCGGACGGACGGCCGGACGGACGGCCGGACGGCCGGACATACTGACCGATTCTAGAGTGTACTCACTTTTTGAGTACACAAAAAAAGATGTCAGCAACTATGTATCGAAGAAATAGCATATGTCCAAGTGATAATTAATGCTTGCTAAGATCAGTGTCAAGTTCCGTTACATTATGTCGCCATATTAAAAACATAGTCCATAGATTATTTTTAATATTCGGCTTTTATTGTGGGCGAATTGAGCATCCTATAGAAAATCTGACCAAACTTGTACCATATTCAGATCTGAACGTCTTCGACACAAAGTAGCAACTTTGAAGCATATTTGAGACTATCTCACAAGCTTGAATTATCTGATGTAAAAGTTGGAGACTAAATCGTCGTTTTTCTGAACTTTCTGAAGATGAGCGAAAACTCATATTGAAGATTCGAAATCATTTGGATCATCTTCCAACATTAATCTCTCTAACAAAGTTTGGACGAGTTTCTAACGACTCACCGTTCTCTAGATCATCGCGACACAAAGTAGAAATTTTGTTACAGCAAAAAATACGCAAAGTATGGAGGTCGTCGAATGCGTACATGAAGGACTACATCAATGCTGTGCTTTGCACTGCATTAATGACAACTTTTGATGCATACATCGAGAAAGTGGAACTCTCCACCGACTTCGGAATGGGATGCGTGGCTTCAAACGTCACTGGACAGATGAATCAATATTTTCTAATAAATGAATAATCGTTGGATCGGTTTAGTATGAAATGCTTTACTCCTTTTTGATTGATTATCTATGATCAATTTTATTCATGGTCAGACTTACCAAATCTCCTGACTTGACTAGGAGACTCCTGATTTTCAGATATTGCTTTTGACTTGAAGCGAGCTTGTTAGTCAATAAAAAAATTGAATGGAAAAGGGAACTGAGTTTTCGCAAAGTTCAATGGATATGTTTTTTGTGAAATAATAACCAAAGTAGAATGATACGTAATACAGTTGTAATATAGTTCGTAATAAAATTAAGCATTGACTATTATTGTACTTTTTTTAAAAGTATCTTCTAAGTAATTCAGATGTGTTCAAACAAATTTGCTCTTCAGAAAATTAGTCTTGCTGCAAAAGTACCAGAAATCGCCAGGCAGATAATTTATCTTTCATATTCACTTATTTCTTGTGATTCATATTAGATTATCTGTGAACTTTTTATACATTTTACTAAACGGTTTTAAAATAATTAATAATAATAGGAGGTGTAATAGGCGACTTCGTATGTCATTTGTCCAGACTTCTCAGAAAATTTTTCACTATCAGGTTACTATGAGAAAGAAGAAATCGCTCATCTAAATGAAAGTTTCATGCTTGTTTGAGAAAATTGCCACGCACCGTCCTATCTTCAAATAAAAACCTCCTGATGAAATCCTGACTTTTTACGTGAGAACTACTAATTTCTGATATTTGGATTTGGTAAGCATGTTCAGGTCTATCTTAACTATAAGCAAAGAGAGCGGGGACTAACTTTTATTGCTATCTTCATTTTAATAAGTGCGAAGCTTGCAAAAAAAAAGACAAATTTCATAAAAACTTGTCTACATATATAAATATATGAAGAGTTATGCTTAACGAACATTCTCTAAATGAGAATCAATCATTGATGATCAATTATTTTAACAAAGGATGTTTTTCTAAAACGAAAAATGTAGGTGAACCAATTAGTGAAAACTATATTGAAGATATTTTCACTGTACAATGTAATTTATTAATTTTAAATATATTTAACATTAGAAGTGACTTATAATAAGACTAAAGATTATAGAATGATTACTATCATTCATTTGTCTGTTAATAGATGTGCATTCATCTAGATATCATACAAATATTGATGTATTATAATGATATTTGAATATTTCTTAATAAGTTATTAGCCATTTATCAAACGATTTTCAAAGTTTAGCGATTCTATCATCATTATAAAGACACAACACTTATACTTTGTTCTTTGTTGGTAAAATTTATAATTTGAAAAATAATCGAAATAGTAAGAATATCGTTAAAAAACTAATCTACTGTCATAAACAAAATTCAACGCTTGAATCTAAAGCATGTTAAAACCATAATAAAGACTTAGAGGTTTGTTATTTAAAAAAAATTATCAAAGAATATTTGAGTATTAACAATCGAAACTAACAATAAAAAGTTATCGAATGTTATTATGATAATCGTTAAGATGTTATCCATCTAAGAAAAATTAATATTACTCAAATTGAAAATATATACTAACTAGAAATTTTTTTTCCATAGTTCAGTTGAAGTTTTTAAATCAAGTGAAAATTTGAATACTAATTATTTGGTCTTCGAACGAAAATATATATGTAGATTTAGATTTCGTTAACAGTTGAGCTTCGTAGGGTTTTTAAAAATTATTTTCATATTATTTTGTTTATTTATGCATTAAGATATTTTTTACTGAAAGTCTCACAATATTTAATTTAGTTGTTCTTCGAAATTCTTTATAAAAGCTTGTCAGCATAGTCCTTTGATAGTAAAATGTGGAACTCACATATCTTCGTTAGCATTATTATACTGATACAACATACCTAAAGTGACGAAGCTCTAACAGATGATAGTTTCTCTCTAATGATAATAAATTGTCAGTAAATCGCTCTATCTTATTTATTTCTCTATTTCGGCTATATATTTCTTTTTGGCTACCGTTTGATATTTTTAATTGTTTTATTGATACACTTTATCGGTATAAAAATCTTCCTTTGACTTTTTTCAATTAAAACAATTATTTTAGTGAATCGGAAACATTAGTGGATGTTTACACTCTTCAATTACTTTATGTATTTGTGGAAAGTTTAGAAATAGCTTAACGAGGTGATCCATCTCTTGGTAGTTTTACCATTAATTTTAGTTAAATGGTTGAGGCTTTTTTTTCTATAGGTACGCAACAACAAGTGATCAGAGCTTTATCTCATATTGAACGAATAACAAAAGAGAAATCTTATTTATTTCTTCAAGAAACACCTAAACGACATCGTCCACCGTCAGTTGTATCTGTTTCTTAGAAGATAAATGTAACGCACTAATCATTTAGATCATGAACTGAAGCATGTCTTCATATTACTGTTCTATGGTTGGTTCATTAATGTGGAAGACTTGAAACTGAATTGCGAAGAAAATGTATTGAACTTGTTTGTACATTTATTCCACTTCTACCTGGTATAATATGTTTTATTTCTTTAATTAAAACAAATTTCTTCTTCTGAAAATGAATTCGATCAATTCGAGAATATTTTCAATTAAAAGTGAAATCCGATAGAAATATTTACTTTATTGAACGGTAAAAGAAAAGTTAAAGAAAATCTTATTAGAAGCCTTTAGATTTGAAGAAACATTAAGTCAAGAAAAGAAAACAAAATTTAAAGCTAATTTAGTTAATCAAACATGTTTAACTGATATGAATGAACAATTTTCAATTTCAATTATTTATCAATGGCTTGATACTATTATTGCTTCATTGCATTGTTATACTTGACTATTTTCACAAGGATTTCTTAATCCTCTTTTATTTCAAGGTAAGGTTACAAATTTTTAATAAGATATTTATCTTAAGCAGCTAAATTAATTCTAACTACTTATCAATAATCTTATCATTGGATTAATTAATTAATTAATTTAATATAATTAGATTAATTAATAATATAAAAAATATATTGTGTAATATTGTTTATTGTTACTGTTAGTGTTATTTAAAACCTAGAAAATGCATTCTATTATATTTTAGACACCAATAAACAAAGTCATTTAATAGTTTCATTATCGTATTTTATAACAAAAATATCGATGAGTACATTATATGATATTGTTACTTATTTTCTACTATCGAATCAAACAAAAGCATTTACACCGACTGATTTTAGTTAATTAGAGATGTAAATGACAAAAAAAAATCAATTTTGATTTAAGTTTTTTTTTTTATTCTATATTGTAAATTTTAGGTGAACATGTATAGTTATTGTTTGTTTACTGAGTTTTTGTTACAGCACTTTGGTCTAAATATCCACAAGACACAATTCGAGCAATTGGTAGTTTATTTTATAATAATGATTTAACAAAATTAATTTTAACATGTGTATTTAATCGAACACAATTAGGATTTGATATTAATAATGAAGAAATTAATAAGAAATTACTTGAAAGAGTATGTTTAGAAAATTATTTAATTGATTCAAAATTTGATGAAATAAATATTTAGATTCTTAATTCACTTAAATCAATGACAACTCATTTAGCTGATCAATTATAACAATCCTTCTATGATATGGCATTAGAAATGACGAAAACTGGTGGGTACGTATAGGTGTAGCTTTATCTCATAGAAATTAAAATTATGAATAAAAGTCAATGGGAGATATGAATAAAGATCATAGATCTCAATCCGAAATTGTTTACAAAAAATAATTTCGCCTTGGTTTAAGACTTCAACATGATACGAGATCAAAGATTTTGCTATAAGCTAATCAAATATTGGATACTAAATAAAAACTAATAACGAAATAAAGAATTAGATAAAAACCAAAAAAATTCAAAGAATTGTCGAGAATAGAATATTCAATTAGTTATCATAAAGTATTCGAATATAATTTAAGATTTTACAATTTAATTAAAGAATTAAATCAAAATCTTATTCATTGATCATTAATATTTACTATTAATCGTGGACATCGTCTTTTACATGATAATTCGATTATAAGCTAAACCAAATCAATTTGAACAATATGCAAAAGAATTCTGGACAATAATGTTAACTGTATTGTTTTCCACTATGAATAAAATTTTCATCTAAAAATTTTGTTTTAACTGTCGATACTCAACGTGATTTGCAATCTCTATTTGATTACATTATATTATTTATTTAGGCATTAAAGTATTTTACTAGATTTATTTTTGCTTTTTTAAATTTATTATTTTCTTTATTTATACCCAAATGAAGTTTTACCATATTTTTTTTCAATGTAATCGTCTTCATACGGATTTCAATATGACAACAATAGGCACATATTTATTAACATTATTTAAATATCAAATAACAAGTTGACTTGGTATAACATCTCATTTTATAACTGATAACATTGGTGAAATAAATTCTGTTGAATAATGTCGTCCTATAGTTGCATTTTAAATGTCTGTTCGTGATTTATGTAGTCGTGAAAAACATATTCATCAACAATATGGTCGACAATTTGTTGATGGTATATATACATGTTGACCACAATTTTTTTCACTTTATAATTCAATAAATATTGATGATAAATTATTAATTGTTACATTATTAACAAAAAAAAAACATTTATAATTAACAGTCATATATTAATTTTACATGAACAATTTGATAATATATCACAAATTTATTTATTATTATAAATTGATAAACAATTAAATTTAACATTTAAAACAGGTTTACTTGATTTATTAACATTTATTGCTTCAATTAATATTGATGAAAATTTATCCGAAGATAAACGTAAAAAATGGTCTAATGATCTTTCACATACATTATGTATATTTACAGCTGATTGTTTTTCATTAAAAAGTACTGAATTTTCTATTTGTACACAAGAATATCATGATTATCAAGCAGCTATAAGAAAAATTCTATCAGCACTTCAATTATCATCATCATTTATATTATTTCAATTATTAATATGGATGTTATGCTATGAACAACATTATATATTTTGAAGCAGAAATTCTTTCATCAATAAGTCGTTATGTTATCAATTTAAATAATAATTTAAAACAAACAAACTTACTTCATTGTATTTATATAAATATATTTGGTAAAAATTTTTTATTTCCTACTGAACATCATTTAAATGCATAAGAAAAATTAATATTAAAAATTTTAACATCTATATGTATAATAACATTAATTGAGTTCTATAAAATATAGAGTATATGTACATTAGTTATTGATGAACTTTATATTAAACTTGATTTAACATCACAAATGTTAATATCAATATTAATTAATAAAGTTTGTACATATTGTTTAATTGATCATATGTATACAATATTAAATGATAGATGATATATTTTGTTTAAATTCTTCTATAGCTAAAGTTTTTTTATGAACACATTAAAAAACAAGATGAAACTAGAAAAATTTTAAATGTTGAAATATCAACAATAACTATTAAAATTGGCAAATATTTGATGGAAAACCAATGAAATCTATTTATGTTATGTTTGTTAGCTGGAATAAATACAAATGATAAACAAATTAAAATACATTTAATATTAAATTGTCTTATTTCATTACTTAATTATTTGTGCACAAACAGAACGCTAAACTTTATAAAGCTTTTATTTTTTATGCTAATTCAGCAAAGATAAATTGGGCTGTCGAATAATCTTTTACTAATGTTTATGACAATTAGAAGTAGCAACTTGAGTAAAGATCGAAGTGACTAAAGTCTGGTCACGACAAAATTTTAATGTAGCTATATCAATGACTATTTTTTATTTTGTGCAACTCACATAACTTTTTATGAATGTCTAATTTTTTATTCGGACTTTTTCTATTTCACTTATCATCTCACTATACAGACACTCGAGATCCCGAAAGATGTGCATCAATAGTTTTCGCATGAAGTAACAAAACTTTTGTTAAATTCATTACTGCGTTCATACAACAAGTTGTGACCGTGATCTGATCAAAATATTATCAAGAAAGTTTCATGAAAATATGATCGATTGTGAAAACAATAATTACTTCGTGCGAAAACTATCGATGTGCATCTTTCGTAGACCTGCATACGACTAGTATGGATAGTCGCTTTGTAACAGATCATACTAATACAATCAATAAATTTTTCATGACTGGACGTGACCATCATCAAAATATAATGTGTCACGTAGATCTTGAAGCTTGAGAGAGAGAGAGAGAGACCGGAAAAAATCATATCGAGTTATTTGAACAAGCACCAATTATCTTTTAAGTATTTCAAATAAAACTTATAGAAATTGTCCGAAATGAGAATTTTCTGATTGAATATTAGTACAGAACTTATAATAATTCTCTGCTAATTAATTTGAAATATCTTACTGCTATATTTTTGACTCATTTTTCGGTGGTTTCCGAAAAACTAAATAATGATATTTCGATCTCAAATTTTGTCTTTAGAGATAGGTCTAATAACTCTTCGAACACCCTGAATGTTTCACCCAAAAAGAATGCTTCTTGGGCGGGTTATTGAATTTTCAAGTGAATTCGATTTTTGTGAGAAAGGGCTGCAGTTTTTGAAAATTGAATATCTTGATGAAGAAATATCCTTTTCGGCTGAAACTTTCCAGTAATGGCAAACTTGAAACTTGAATTCGATTGAAATTTCAAGTTTCAAGTGAGTTTTGAAGTTTAATCTTTCAACTTACAAGAATTTTCTAGGAAGTTGTTCAGGTGAGAACAATTTTCATGTATGCAACTTGGAAATTTATTGATGCATCATTTTCGATGATTGTGTTAGAGGAAACTAATTGTGTAAGTAAAATTCAATTAGCAAAAAAATTTTTAATGTTCTGTGAAGAAGAGTCAGTTGTCACTATGATCAATGTCGAATAGATAAATATTGTGATATTGATATTCTTGAGATGGAAGAATATCCCTCCGTGGTGATGTTGGTTTTTCGATTGGTTCTATTCTGTTTTTCTTTTTAACTTGGAATGTATGCTGTTTTGTAAAATGTTTTGTTGTTGTTTTGTCTGGTGTTAAGAAAAGTTGACTTGCTGCACTTTCGGCTCGTTGCTGTGATCGAACACGTGTTGTTGGTGGTAGCAATTCAAATCCAACACTTGCATATGATGAAACATCTTCACGAGAAGGTGAAGCATCCATACTCTCTTCATTTTCCGTTTCGGTGGTGGTAACACTTGCTTCTGGTATGAAAGATGCTTGGTAAGCCATCAGCGACACATTGAACTTGGCTAATTTGTTACTGAAGGCAGCTAATTATTCAGCATTCCATTTGGGATCGATTGGTACTTTGGAAAAGTATGTTGTTGCTCTGTGAGCACCACTTGCTTCTTCTTTTGTCAAGATTCCTATACGAATATAAAACAAATTATAATTAACTACAATAATGAATCGGTGCGCATTGAAGTGTATTTAAATCATTAAGTCTCGATCTGCTTTTGCAATCATAACGAAACAAACTCTGTGATGGTTGATATGGTTCTTTTTATTGTCATAGTGAATCATTACTGTTGAGTGAGTGACAAAAGTAATATGTTCGTTTTTCTTTTTTTTTCTTCACTCTCCTCTGAATGGTGGTTATCTTGCGTTGTCTTTTCCTCTTATGTTGAAATATCATCTTTCATGTGTTTGTTGTTCTTTTCTGTTTGTTTTGTACGTTACTAGTTGAAAGTTACCTTGCTGTTTCTGTCTTGTGTGTATTCAGTGAAATTCGTTGAATGGTCTGCTTGAAAAAAAAGATATCTCAGACTGTTTTAGTTACTTATTGTCATCAAGGAAGTTTTGATGTTGTTATCATCTATCTGGGTCAAATTCTACGGTAAGAATAAAAGAACCTCAACGTACCAAGTCTTTCATTTTCAAGATTATCTGCAGCTTGATGAAGTGTAGCTGCATTAAATCCTCCATGATTTAGGCTTATATTGATCCATGGAATTTTTGTACCTCTAGCTAGTAATATAACTTTTTCAGAATATCGCTGTTCATTTCCGTCTTCCGACCGTGCTGACGTTTTTGATCGCCGAGATTCAGTCAATATCGCTTGGTTTTTGTCTATTCATTCTTGTTCATCGCTTTTCTGAGCAAATCGTTGTCGCATTTCATCTAAAGTTTCATGCACTGGACCTGAAAAAATGACATTATAAAATGTTAATCAATATACTATAGTGTATAGTGTAAAAATAAGACGAAGAACGAGAAGCTATTCTTTTTTGGAAGACCATTTGTTAATCCAACATCTAGGGCAGTGTATTATTTGCAAAACCATAAGTAATTAAAGGCGTCGAGTCGTATACCAGAAAATTCTGCAAAAAAAATATTCATTTTGTATTTTTTTTTCAGGGCTAGAGAATAGACGCATTGTTATGCATTTTCTGTAGTTACCTCAGTAACATTCAATAACCAATTTGTATATATTAATTAGCTGATGTGAGAGAAAAGAGCTGTCATTGATAGAAACAGTGAAGGTTAGATGAAATAAGTGAAAACAAGTGAGAAAAAATAAGAAAGGTGTGAAGATATCCGAAAGAAAGGAAGTGAGGAAGAAAGGAAGAGAAGAAAGCAGCAAAAAGAAGAGCAAGAGAAAGGAAAAAAAATATCATAATTGCATAAATCTATTTTAATAATTCGATCATAACTCTGACTTAAAACTATGAGAATTAAAAAATTATGGAGTTTTATGACAGTGAAGATCATTAATAAATTTTGGTATATCTCAAAGAGAACTTACGATTTGTATTTTTTTTTGAGTTATAAAATAATTCATTAATAGCACAGCTGCTTTTGCAGTGCTTTTCCGAGATTATCGTCCATTTGTGTGTCTCTTTGAAACATCTAGCTGCTCGTTTGAGTA